ATTGATGTTGATCATTTGACTCCACCAAAATTCAAGTCTATGAATACATTGTAATCTTGTCTTTGTATAGACTTAGATGTTGAAAAAGTCAAGTATATATGCAAAAGTAAAAGAAAGGATAGCATCTAGCTTAGAACCTCTTTGAACTTAAAAATAAAACACCAAGACACACTATTTCTCACGTATGAAGATTTCAAAGTGAAAAGTTTCAGTTGGATTAAAAAATAAGCACCATCACACACTGTTGATACATATGTAAAATAATGGTAACCCTGTAGAGATTAAAAAGGAAAATTAATATTCTTTTAAGTTAATAATTGCAATGGAATGGAAACGTAAATCATGACAACACTGTGAGACATATTAATCTTGGGAGAAAGTCTGAATACTATTTCATTACAGCTCCTGATTATTATTATTATTACTGAATTCCAGTTCTACAACCAGATTTTTTCCAGCCCCATATTCTCACTTTACATATTGGGAAATTCATTTTTCATCAAATGGTTTCCACAAACTGCTGCAAAACATAAAAAGCTAACAAACTGAACATTTATTTTATATAGATTCATGATTGCAACATGAAGCACAAAAATATCAGCAAACATAGCAATTATCAATGGAAAATTTTCAAACTGAATTCCCAGAAGAAATCTTTAAAATGTTCCTCTACTCTTGATTCCTTCATTGACTAACAGACAAAAGCATGATCTACCATTTCAAATATGTTTCCCTTGTCTACGAGGCAGGAGCAACAAGTTTGGTCCCTAAGCACTAAACATTAAAGAGTAGCTTATTCTTGAATATGTCCTTATATTGTTTTTTAATTTTTGTTGCAGAGGTTCCAGAGGGACCAAAAGTACATACAAATTGGTGTTGGTTTCACAAAGATTATACTCAGGTGTATTGGAATATGTTGAGGTTTGTTGTTGGACTAAAACACAGCATATTAAATATTGAAAGGCATAAGGTAGTAGGAAAAAATTATACTCAAGGTATCTTGGTGAGAAAATCTTTGGAACTACACAAATATAACTTTTATGCACTTCACCATTTAATAGATAAGTATTGATCATCCCTTTTGTACTGAATGCTACCAGAGGTAGGTGCAAAACTAAATATAAGGTAGAAATATACTGCTTTTAAAAAAGATATTTAAGTTGAAGATGTGTTGCAGATTCGTTTACAGTTCAATTCAATATACTATTCAATATACTATGGCAAGTCCTATAATAAGGGAATTAGTGGACACAAAAAAAAAACGTGCTTATGAGGAGTATCTTATCTTCTCTGGAAGTTCATAAAAAGCCCAGAAGAGGAAATAATTCAAAGGAATATAGAGAAGTAGAAGAAATTTAGACAAAGGATGTGATGATAATGGGCAACTGTTCTGGGCGGAGGGTGAATGAAGTATGTATACAATTCCTGTTCACATTTGGATGACTGGTGCCTAAGGCTAACCAGGAGGCTGGTGGTTCAAACCCACCAGCCACTCAGAAGGAAGGTTGGGCAATCTACTTCTGTAGTGATACTGCCTTGGAAACCCAAGGAGGGGTCACTATAAGTCAGGTCTGATTCGATGGCACATAACAACAACAACA